TATATATATATGTATGTATAATCAATTCCCATATATACTATATTATAATATATATTTTTTAATATTAGAGCCAGAGAGAAAGAGCCTGAATTTGATGAGGATTCTAGTTCTAAGCACCATATACAAGAGATATAAGAGACAGAGGGAAATGTCAAACACCGGTATAGGGATGTAGTCAGTAAAAATACAGTCCTGGGAAACTCGGCTGAACAAATTAACTGATTTCTTAAACAAAAATTCAAGGGGGAAAAAAGAGAGCAAAATGGAGGGGAAACATACATGCTAAAAAAACTTTAAAGACATATCAACTAATTGCAATGTATGAGCCTTATCTGGATCCCAATTCAAATAAACGAGCTACAATAAAAAAACATTTAAGACAGTTTAAGGCAAGGCAACACTGAAGACAATTGCGGCAATAGGAATGTTAACTGGATGTTTGGTTATATTAAGGAATTATTGATTCTTTTTTAGTTATGTCAACATTTTTGTCACTCTTGTTAAAAAGTAAGTCCTTATCTTTTGGGGAAACATGAAATATTTACAGGTAAAGTGATATTATGACTGGGATTATGTGGGAGGATGTGGGAGGATTTATAAAACAAGACTGGACAGTATTGATCATAGTTGAAGCTGGTGGTAGGGTCTATCAGTTTCATTATTTTCTGTACCTTTGTATAAGTTTGAAATCGTCTATAACAAAAAGTGTGTTTTTTTTAAATTCTGCATTTATTAGAGTTAACGTTTAGACCCAATGAGATCACGTACTCTGGAACATGGTGTAAATGGTCAGGCACATCCCAACCATAAGCAGTGGGCACCACTGTCTGTCACTGAACCCTCAAGGGAAAGTGGCAGTGAGGTAGCCTCTGGCTGTCACCTCCTACACCTCCCTCCACAGGCACAGAGAGCACCCAAGGTCCCTGTTGGGCAAGGAGGGGTTCTGACATTTTCCCCAGGAGCCCAGTGACAAGATTCCTTCCTTCTTTTCCACCCCTCTAAGGATTCCCAGACCCTTGGATTTCTCCCTCCTGCAAGGCAAGTCCCAAACTCACATCATTCTCCGAGGTCCCACAAAGGATGCAGGATTTGCACTCTATGCACTGCCACTTGTAGGTCTTGACGGCCTCGGTCATGTTCAGGGTGAACTGCAGGCAGGTTGGGTGACCTGCAAGAAGCAGAAATGGCAGCATAAGGGCCACAGGATCTGACCTGTCACCCCTCAACATCACTTTAACCAAAAACACATTTATGCCCAACGTAGAGGAAGGGCAGGTAGCACAGGCTGGGGAAAAACTGGGCCCCTACCTACACCCCTCACAGCCACCTGCAGTTACATCAGATCAAGGCCCAAGAGAGATATTGGCATTAACCCTGTTACCGGGGATAGATGCCATCCACGTCCTCTTGCCCTAAGAGTCGCGTCCCCTTGAAGGTGTAACCGGTCGATGAGGACAGAAAGTGGCGATCAGAGAGGAAGAGAAGGGAAATTGTGGAGTGTACTTTACAAGGCAGCACCATGAAAGTGACCAGCATTTCGACCCAAACCTCAGCATCAACCGTGACAGGAGCAACACATAAGAGCTGTTTGGAGCTAGGCCTTCCAACCTGCACAGTTGTCCACATTCACACTGCCTCCAGGCACAGGGAGGAGGTCAGAAGGAGTGTGTGAGCTTTCCCAGGGCAGAGTTCAGGGGCTCTGAGAAATAGCACTGCACTGCTATGTAAAGAATCCATGCCCACACCCAGGACACTAGTGGAAGTCCACGCCCTGCACGGTAACAGGAACCATGGAGGAGAGCGGCCTGGCAGGCAGGGCAAAAAAGTGTACCATAGCATCACAATGACCAGGTCTATCCACTGGTCCTTACTCTTCTCCATCCCAAGTATCATGTTAGCCAAACCATTAGCAAATCAGGGGTGGACACTAATTGGGGATGGACATTAAGCTGTGACCTAAGAGCACACAGTCCCAGTGGCCCATCATCCAAGGCTTGGCATGAAGGGCTGGACTCTCTTTGCAGCCATGGCACACCCAAAAGAGAGATGCCAGCCCTGAGAGAGCAGCTATGAGCCATAGAATGTGAAGACTCTTGGCCTTCTATTTGGCAGGGAAGAGAAACTTGGGTGATGTTCCCAGGTTTTGCAGGAATCTGCCCACAGCACCCAAGGCAATGTCCATGACTGACTCTGTCACAAAAGAACTGGGAGCTCTGCTGGGGGTTCACCCTTTTCCAGAGCCCCCAGCTCCACCAAACCCACCACATAGTGTATTGCATTGCTTCTTGCTTGTAAGGGAACGTGTTCTCCCAAAGAAGAATACTACAGAGAGGGGACACCAGTTAGAGCCAGTCCTACCAACCTAGTACCCTCCACAGGTAGTCAGGACCCCACATGGTAGCACCACCCCTTGGCAAAGCCACATCCCAGAAGGAGGTCCCCATTTCCTCCCTTCCAAATATTCAGAGGGCTGGTTACATTGTGGTCATTCAGGAACATGCTGTCTATTCAGTCAACATAAGGATCCTTCAAATATGAGCGTCCACAAATATAAATCTCATGGAGTCCTCTCTGAGAGAATAAGAGTGGGGATGGAAATGACTCATCAGTGCGGAGCACGGGGGACACTTAGCAAGGAACACACAGAAGCATCGAGAGAGGGCAGATCTAAAAGCTTTTCAAGGACTCACCAGGTGCCATCCAACTTAGAAGTTCCCACAGCTCTGAATTAATAAGGCTCTCAAAGTGCCACCATGGCAATGACCCAGAGAGAAACAAGCCCAGATGAATATCCAGCTGATATTCTTGAAAACATCTCAAAGATCTGTCTAAGAATGACACAGGGTTGTTCTCAATTCCAATCTCCCAGAAAGAATACTGGGGTGGGAATGAGAGAGAAAACACCAGCTTGAGGCTCTGAGTGGTATGGGCTGTGGATGTCCAGGTTCTCAGACAGGGCACCCTTGGGTAGGTTGAAGATGAGTCCATGGAGCAGATACCCATATATGCAAGTCGATTTTGCCCAGTTCTGTGGCTTCATCCCAGCCACAACCAGCTGTCTTGAGATAATTGTTCATTAACTTAACAGGCATTCCCTGAGCACCTGCTAGGCCACTCATTGCATTAGACAAAAAAAGATACAGTGGTGAGCAAGGCACCCCAAACCCCTCTAATGCAGCCAGAGAGAACTCAAATTAATAAGCTACATGCACACTTACCGTTGTGTGATAGGTTCCATGAAGGAAAATCATAATGAAACAAACCACAGTAGAACCTCACCTAGTCAGAGATGTCAAGGAAACCATCCAAGCAAGATCTTTAAGCTGATACCTGACAGATAAAGGGGACTTAGCTGGTTTGGAGGAGGGAGGGTGAGAGGCAGTAGAGAGGTACCTGGAGCCAGATTACACAGGGACCTAGAGCCCTTATTTAAGGATTCGGGGCTTGAAAATCATTAAAGGGTTTTAAGCAAGGCGTTGACTGGATCACACTGTGTTTTAAAGGAGCATTCTTTAGCATGAGAGACCTTTGGGGTGATGAAGCGGTCTGTACCTTGATGGTGGTGGCGATTACATATGTGGAAGATTGCATAGAGCCGTACATATACACACATGAGTACTCATGCATGTGTATGCCTGTAAAACCAGTAAAATGTGAATAATTGCATCGATGTCAGTTGCCTGGCTTTGAGAGTGTACTATAGTTATGTAAGCCGGTACCATGGGGAGAAACAGAGCAAAGGGTGCACGGGACCTCTGTGTAATATATTTTTGTAACTTTCTAAGAAGCTATCATCATTTCAAAATAGAAAGTTGAAAGGATATTTTTAAATAAGGAAAGCACAAATAAAGATTCAAATCATCAAAAAGGAAGGTAGGAAGGAAGAAGCTGCTGTCTAAGAAAAGAATGTGTTGGGGAACAGGGGGAAAGGGAGGTACAAGAATTGCTGCCAGGAAGCCAGTCAGAAGCTACTGGGAGAGAGACAAGGATGGTTAAGCTAAGGTGGAGATTTCAGAGTATTAAAGAAATCACTGATAGGACTCAACAACTGTTTGAATGTTGGGAGTGTGGGGAGAAAGAGATGATGAGAATATTCTCAAGGTTCTGGATCTAAGAACCTGGGTGGGTTATGCAATAGCTTTACTCAGACGAGAAAGACTATAATAAGCATAGAAGGACTTGATGCAGAGCAGGGAGAGAGGACTTCTCTCTGTCTGGGGCATGTTGAACTTGGGAAGTTTGGGAGACTTCTGGTAGAAATGTCAAGTGGAGAGTCAAATATATGGATTTATAACTCTAGAGAGAAACATGGACTAGACATATAAATTTAGGAGCCGTTGCTAAATAGGTGGTCATCGAAACCATGAGAATTAATGAAGTCATCGAAGAGAAGGGCAAAGGGAAGAGAAAGGATGAGGAGAGAACAGAGGGGAGAGAAAAAGGTCTAGGACTGCACATAGAGAACTCAACTATTTAACAATGAAAAGAAAGAACCAAGAGAGGAGACTGGCAAGGATGGCCAGGGAGGTAGATACAAACTATGCAAGCATGGGGTCAGAGCAGACAAAAGAAGAGATTTCAAGGAGAAACGGTGGTCAGTTGTGTTGACTTCCACAGGTTCTTGGTTTATCATTGCTTAATAAAGACCCAGAGTGAGGGAGTGTTGACAGATCAGAGCAAAAGCTGCCCTACTAATAGTAACACTCCAGGAGTGTCATCTTCCCTAGGAAGGAAGGTCAGCACATTCCAGAACATGACATGGAATTCAGTAGCCAAATGTGCATGTGGGGCTGCCTCTGTGGGTAGGGATGGAGGGTGGCATGTGTACTTTGTGCCAACAACATTCCACAAATATTTATTAAGAGCTAATTCTATATTCAAGTTCTCTTAGACCACTGTGCCAAGTTCTGAAGACATTTTCTGGAATAGCTTTGGACCAGTGAACAGTAGCAAGTGGTTTCTGGAAACTCCTGTTGGAAGTCTCTGAAAATATCCTATGGGCTTTTTCTGTGTTTCTGTCTTGAGAAAGTCATCAGGGTCCCCAAAGGGAACAAAGCTCACACAGCCTACCCCCGACTCCTAACACCCCCAGTAAAATGCAGAAGTAGGATTAGCCTCAGCACTAGCTACAGAGCTCTGTCAGCTCAAAATTCAAGGCATCACTGAAGATCAAGAGGAAAGTAGAGAATGCAACGTCTTAGCTGGGGAGGGTGAGGCACAAGAAGTTAAGTCACACAAGCAGCCATTAGCAGGTGCAAAAATTATGTCTAAAACTAAATCCTCTGTGTTGTCACAACAGGTTGACTGCCTGTTGTCTGTCTCTAATAACTGGAAAAATCATTTGCTAGATAAAACTGTAAGAATACAAATTCTTATCTACCATAGAAATGACTGAAATAATGCATACTGTTGGACAAAGGAAAAAGTTTCTAAGGAAAATGCTAGTAACCCATTCCTGAGTTTGAGTCCAAAAACTCCTCATTTTTGCCCAGAACTACTTTCTAAAATCCTTGGAAGTAAGACAGTAGATATAGTCTTCCAATTCAAGGGTAGAAAAAAGAGACACATTGGTGTAAAAAAAAATTTTACTTATAGTCACTTGCTACTTAAAGATGCCCATTTCAATTCTTTTGTAAAGTTAACTATCATTCTGTAAGGCATTTGCTTGGAAATTTAGTTTTTCTTATCTCCAACCTCCTTAAAGCAAGGAATACCTGTACTGCTATTTAAATAGCCCTATGGAGGGGCGCCTGGAGGGCGCAGTCGGTTAAGCGTCCGACTTCAGCCAGGTCACGATCTCGCGGTCCGGGAGTTCGAGCCCCGCGTCGGGCTCTGGGCTGATGGCTCGGAGCCTGGAGCCTGTTTCCGATTCTGTGTCTCCCTCGTTCTCTGCCCCTCCCCCGTTCATGCTCTGTCTCTCTCTGTCCCAAAAATAAATAAACGTTGAAATAAATAAATAAATAAATAAATAGCCCTATGGAGTGAAGGGGAAACAACCCTTCCCAGGTCTCTGTGGGCGAGATGAATCAACAGGACATTTATAAGATTCCAATTACCAAAATGAATTTAGAAAGTGCTGCAGTGTGAATGACTCATCCCAGCCAGATCATTAGAAACCAAGTCCTTCCTGAGTGTTCCACCAAATTTCTTCCATCGGGAGGGCTCAGT